AGTCTGTCAAATTGGGCCCTGCATGCATGTGTGTGTTTATTGTGCGAGAAGACGGGTGGATCCTCAGGCAAGGGGAGATACGCTGTCTGCACTTTGACAGTCTCTTCCTCCTGGCTGATTACTGCACAGTCATAAGCACCACAAACGGAAACACAGGCAGGCACACATCCACCAAAACACACACACACACACACACACACACACACACACACACACACACACACACACACACACACACACACACACACACTGACGACACACTGCTGACCTTACACACCCAAGAAAAAGCCGGTCTTGCATAAACAGAAAGATTGTTCTTTGTTTTCCTTTTTTTTCCCAGTGCCCTGTTCCTCACAACATAGCTGTGTTTTATTCCATCTGTCTGTCGGTAGTGCTATTTCAAGAGTCTTTCTTTAGATGTGGGTGTTAGTATCCTAAACTAACCCCAAAACACATTAAAAATACAAAAATATAAATGACCTAAAAATAAACAAAAGAGGGAACTTGGGGAAGAAGAGGATGTGGATGGATAGAAAATAATGTCTGAACATTTTGTTTGTGTGTTTATGTCATGTCACAACTGTCTCTGCCTTTACATGTACAGAAACACACACTCACACAAAACAGAAATACAGTGTACTAAATCTAAATGTAATAAATTATGTACACAACTTAGTTAGTTAGTCAGTTGTTTGCTAGTTTATAGATAGGCTAACTAGTTGGCGAACTTACAAATTAATAATACTGCATTATGTTTTTAGTGACTACAGATTGCTTATTACTGTACTTTACAGATTTGTCACTTTTCTCTAGAAATCAGTGACGTCACCTTTGTGGAGGTCAGTAAGTTTCCTGATGCTCTGATGCTGATTAAGCCTAAAATAAACTGTTGCCGTGTTAATAGTTGAGAGTTGCACACAAAGCAAGGGTCGTTATTCATCGTCATTCAACATCCCGCTGTTTTCATCATCAGAATTCAATGTCAAGAGATACATACATTAAAACTATCACAAGGAGAATTTCTATGTGATTGTGGTATCTGCCAACTGATGTTGGTCCATAGGTTTTTGTTTGTAGAAGAAATAAGACAATTCTGGTGAAAATCAGTGCATCTCTGCATTTGTGTCTGCAACATTTGGTGCGCCAAAGTACAAAATTTTAAGATGCCACATTTAATTGATTCCCACTCTACTGGTGATAATGTTTGAACACTGTTTGGTGTGATTAAACCTCAAGTTCCACCCAAAGTTCAAAACATTATTGAGCTCTCATACACACTGCAAACACACTGATTAAGGCCCATTGCGCCCATTTGAAAAGCTCAGCAATTACATATTTGGGACTGGTCCTCTTGAAATTTTAAACACTGTGGTCTGTGGCTGTGGAAACATGTTAATTATTAGTGGCTTGTTTGCAGATGATTAACCCTTGAACCAATCACTGCCTATTCCACCTCCTCCCAGGACACACCAGCAATCAGATAACCCCTATATATACAGGGGGCAAACTGTAAAAGCCCATTACAGTGTCAAAGATCAGTGGACTTCTGCACAGATTAGATGAAAGCACTACTTGCTCGTCCAAAATATTTAGTATTTTTTTATTTATGTAAAGATTCTGCTTCATCAATTTTGATCCCGCCTCAGGGTGGATGTTCATACTCTACATTCAGGAAACATGGAATAGCTTTCATGGAAAGGCTTTACATAATATAACCCAGGGCTTATATAGTATGATTGGAGAAAATGAAAGAGAGAGAAAAAATGGTGGGTTGTCCAGTTGTTGCCATTGTTGTTGGTTCACACCTCTGTAGTGTAGACAAAAGTAGATGTAGGGAAAACGTCATTGCCACTATTTTCTGGTTAATCAGTTGCTAGTTGTAGCCCTTGGTTTGTCAGTGGTGCCACAAGAGGGGAAGTGACTTATGCAGGGGTGGCATGAAGAATGTTTCTAAGCTTGTGTTAGTCATTTCCAGTTTATGCAATTGCAATTCTGTTTCGGCACCCCAGTCTGCAGAAATATTCAAATACATTAGGCATTTATACCACATACATGGTTTTTGTCCAATAACTTCTGTAAAGTGGGCATATCTGCAAAGGGGTGACTTGTAGGTAACCCATTTTTATTCAAATATCTTTAGGTCAGAGGTCAAGGGATCCCTTTGAAAATTGGCCATGGATTTGTTGTTGTTTTGGGTTGAATCACAGAAATTGCCAAAAGTCCAGTGTCCTCTACATGTGCCACTTTTTGTTTTTCCCCTCGGGGTCATGAGATCACAATGTGACCAAAATCCATTTTGTAAATATTCAGAAATGCACCGATTATGCATCCTGGTGTGATGAGATGATAAACTAAAAGACACGTGGTGGTCAGTACATTCTGACTACATGACACACCAGTTACTGTATCACACATACATGGGACATTATTACTCCTGAGCATATTTTGTAATGCCAGTTTGAACCCACTGGAGGCAACCAGGAGACTAATTTCACAAACTAATCTCCCAAAAGTTATTTCTCAGTTTCGTCCTTAATCAGTCCTCATAACATGATCCTGAGTCACTGTAAAGATAGAAAACAACAGCACAAACAAACTCCTGCATACACACTGTAAAAGCACATGCAGTCAGTGAAAAGGTCACAGTCTGATTTTTTATTCTTCGGAAAAATGACAGCTGGAGATGTAGGAAGACGCTTTATTTGAACCATTGTGGTTACATTACCGCCTTTACCTCCTTCGGACAATGACGGCCCCTGCAACAAATGTGGTTTTCTTTCTCTTTAATACGCTTGAATGCTTTAGTCAGAAAGTCCCAGTGCCTCATTTCACCTTTTTCTCGCTTTCCCCTCCTTCTCTTTGAATTCTGCTGTGTCTGTGTGTCATGCTGCTGTGCCACCACATTCCTTACTGACCAGTTCCTGACTCAAAGCAGTACTGACAAGGGAGAAGGAAACAGAGAACAGAGCAGAGGGCTGAAACTAGCAGCAATGACAAATGTAGAGACGTCAAGAGAGGGTGGCCCAGTGAGATCACTGTTGCTGTGATGCCATGGAAATGCTGGTGGGCTCGTGCATGATAATTTTGAGCTAAAAACGTATAAACATAACATGGCTGATGTTTAAAAACTGCTTGAGCTAATAGTAGAGTAGAATTTAAGAGGATATGGCCTCACTAGTTCCCCGTACAGCAGTGGATCTTCAGTCTATACCTCCGTAAACACAAAGAAGCTGAAATAACAAAGTGTTTGAAGTGAGGAAGTGTGATTGTTGTAAGGATAAAAGAGGAGAGGGAGGGGGTTTTCAGCCAGCTTTTTGTCTGCTGGCCTCCTCCAAGAAATCTTTGTGTGTTTTACTGCAGAACTCCTGACCTTCAGATGAATAAATGGAAAAAATAAGCACTGCCTAGGCATTTGAAGGACAGACATAGACACAATGCCACAATGAGGAACCATCAGCATGGTGGTAGCACTTTCCCATTATCCCCTTGGGTATGGGCATAACTAGTTGGAAGCTGCTATTTCAGTTTTACGTCAGTATTTTTACACATACAGTAGGAGTCAAAACACTTCCTGGTTTCTAAATGTTTAAGAGCTGAGCTTCCTGTTAAAGAGTTTGCTTTATGAGCTATTGCTTTGTTTCTATGGAATGTGTGTTAACAATCCCACGAGGGTCTTACTATATTCTAAAGTATGCTCCTACCTCAGCCAACGCACTGCTGGCATGCCAAGCATTACTAAGCAACATTACTATGAAACATTGTTATGTTAGGAGACAGCCGGGCACCAAAGCTTTTAAACCTGGATATATTATGCAGTAATGGTAAATGTGTTGTGCATTTACACTCATACATACATAAAGTAAAGACTGACCAATGGAGAAAAACAAAGTCAAATGGAAGCTATTAAGTATATAAATCTATATATATCTATATATATAGATTCGATATTGGTATTTGTTTTATGACTTAAGTTTATGACCTTTATTTTCATTTTAATTGTTTATGGCTGACCTTTAACAGTCTATATGTGGAGATATATGATTGTCAACAAGCCTGTATTTGGCTGACCAAAGTCTATGTAATTTATGTCATTGACATTGAAAATAATCAAGTTCACTTGCTACAGTTAATATGAATAGACTTTGTCAGACCGAGAAATTTACAGTGAATGTTAAGATTAAATTTAAAGATAAAGTTAAGATAAAGACATAAATGAATACAGTTTACTACTAGTTTAAGAAGGGGTTAGATATAAAGGAAAGCTACTCTTTACTACAACTTAAAGGTCCTGTGTAACATTTACAATCTATTGGCAGAAAGATAATATAATATTCATAGTTTTGTTTTCATTAGTGAATAATCACATAAAAATAAGTTTTTGTTACCTTAGAATGAGCAGGTTTTGTCTACAGATGCACCAGGTTGCCTTACGTGGAGTCCATGTTCCATGTTGAACTGCCAAGTTTCTACAGTTGCTGAGAGTGGACAAACTAAACACTGGCTCCAGATATGGGCAGTTTGCGTGTTATGCAGGCATCGTAGTTTCTCCTTTGCATTTGGAAGGGGGGGGGTGAAGCGAGCTTGTTGCAATCTGCAACTGGCATGGCTATTATGATCAGACAGGTTATAAAGCCAACAGTTTATCTAAACCACTTTATTTAAAGGTAAAGTCAAAGGTGAACATACCTGTACTATCACTGATAATCTCTTCTGAGATCTCGTGGTAGAGTACGGCACAATCATTAATAATAAAACTGATGGCTGGAACAACAAAAGTAAAATGCAAGTTGTATGAAACAGTAGTTTTTCTTTAGGTCTGGACACTATTAAGAGCCAACAATGGACCAAGACAACAAGATGTTTCCGATTTTAAATTACATGGGGATGATTCATAGGTGACAATGATTTATCTTTTTAGTGTAGCGATAGCTCACTTCCATGACAGACATACAACACATGCACTCTCACACAGTGTTTCAGGTCATATGCAGGTTGTGACAGGAAAACGTTGGAATGTGATAAATGAGGCGTGGAAGCAAGAGCAATGGAAGGAGGGACGGCAGGGGAAGTGTGCTAAGTGTAGCCCGGGGCCACCTTCTTCAACCTCTGTACAGGTAAGACCTAAGGGAGACATAATTTACACAAGAAGGACTGACTCACAAAGATGACAATGTTTTATACAGCTGTTTTATTGTCCTCTCTCTTCAAGTATGTGGATGTCTTCAGAGCTGTAGTAACCAGAGCAAACATATGACAAGGAAGCACCACTCAGGTAACTTCAAAGCTCCATTTTCAAACAAACATATCACGTTTCTCTCCTGGAATGTTCCACTGCCGCAGCTTTCAGTCCGAGGCCGAGTGTTTGACATGAAAGGGAATCAGCGGTGAATCCTTTGATCACTGTTAACACACTTCTCTGTGTTCTGACTCTCCAGGGTGGCAAAGACCAGGTGAAGAACCTGTTGTGGTCATGTAGGCCTTTATTGAAGTCTGATCTCGCACTGGAGCACCTGGCGAATGTGGTGTAAATAAGATGTTCACATGCATTTACTATGACAAAGAGCAGAGCACTCATAAATGTCTTTTAAGACGGATGGCATAGTTTTGAAGCTAACAGCATTCCTCTAAATACTTAACAGGAGAATCCACAGATTATCTAAATTGTTTCCATAACACGCATTTGTCTCAGGCCTCGCAAATGCTTGTTAGGTATGTTTAACCCTCATCACTGAAACTATAGTGGAGCACCTGATAAACTTGAACCAGGGTTCCTGGTGGGGCTGACTATGGTGACTCACTATCATTGCATCACATCAGGAAAAGGTTGTGATGCAATGCAGGGACAATCAAGAAAGTGACGTGTCATGTTTAAACTACTGTAAAGTCCTGTTTGAATGCTGTATGAATATTGTACAAATCAGGTTTTCAAAAACCTTAATCTATACACGGATACACGGATTTGGATTTAGATAGCTGGCTTAATCAGTCAAGATTGGTATTTAATCATCACAGACAAGTTACTATTAGTAAAAAGATGACTGTTTTGTCATGGTATTCAAGATTAATTAATTAATTAATTGCCAGGCATGTGGACATCTAAGTCCTTAGGGAATCTATATAAAGTGCATGGTCTCAGATTTCCTAGACAAAGTAAAGAGAATAGTAGAATAGACACGTCTTAGGACAGATTGCATTCAGATATGTGCATACATGGGAAACGCCACCACAGTAATGGCAACTTGTTTACTTCCCTGGATTAATGTATAGCTTCCACTTGTTGCTTGGTGATTGGAGGTTTCTTACAGAAATGTATATGCAAGCTTGGACCTGTGAGTTTTTACAAAGAAAGAGAAAGAAAGAAAATAAAGACATTTTGAAATTCAGTTCCTCATCTTTTGTAATGATGATTCAACAGGAAGAGTTTCATACCCATCCAAGCTTTTGGAAGTGCTCCAACTAACAATCACCAAACACTGCATGACCCTGTTGAATATTAAGAGATTCCATGCATTTTTTATTTTATCAGTGAGTGGAGGCCAAATAAAAGCAAATATACAACATAATTAGTACTACTGGTATATTTATAGCTACATCATACCATGCTGGGAATGGTGAATATTCATACGGGCTGCCACTAAACTGGTCTGGCCTCTAACAGTCGGCAGTTAAGTAGCATCCTCACTCCACGCTCTACCAGTTTACAGTTTAGGGTTGGGTTAAGCTGAGCAGGATGACCCAGTGATTCAGGTAGTTTGAATGGATTCAGACACACCTTCAGGAATCACCGCCGGCCATGCCTGTGTCAGCACTGGCAAAAGTGGCTGCTGTTACATGTGTTTTAAATGCGATATTGAAAATCAAAAGTTATGGCTGTGGTATGACAAACGACGACCTCTTTTCATGCCAGTGACAGTAAGATTGATACTGCAAGCTTGCTTTTTTTTTTTGCCATTCTCGAGGCAGTCCTTGGCAAATATTTACAGCTGACCTGCTTGCCTACTTGGGAGGGTAATTTACAAGAAAATACAGTGCAATGACAGACCTGACAGAGAGGGAAGGAGGGGCAAATTGACAAAAAAGAGGAAGACACACAGGGAATAAAAAGTGACAAGGGCAGGGTGTGGTTGTTTTCGTCTTGCTTTGTTACATATGTGTAAATCATTGCCCTCCCTGTGGTTTCATTTCTTTAGAAAGATGGTGAAAGTCAAACTTTCTTTCTTCAAAGATGCTCAAAGTTCACAAATAAGCCCTGTAACCACAAACATATCTCAAACAGTGACCTATGTAACTTTGTCTTGTGGCAGCAGTCTTGGGCATATGTCTTGGACTTGTGACCTTACAACATTCTTATGTTGTGTTGTATGAATTCACAGAACTGATGGCATCATCAGGATTAGCTCATATCACAGTTTCTGCACCTGAAAGTCCAGTCACAAGCCCCCTCCCATCCCCTTCAGTTAATATATAAGAGAACCAGTTTCAGTATGTGTGGGCCTTTTTGTTTCATCCTTTAAAAGAAAGGAATCACTGATACCCCTGTGTCTTACTCACTTATCTCTGATCTGATTTCAGATCTGGTCTGAAAGGAAGATAGTCATAATAAGATCAGAATCTCAATGCAGTGTCTTTCTAATGCTATCTGGCTTCGGCACACACACACACACACACACACACACACACACACACACACACACACACACACACACACACACGTGCAACAACGCTAATCCTTGCCTTTTACCTCTCCTCTGGTGCCTATGTAACAGGAGCTGGCTGTGGAGCCTTTCTCACAGAATGGAGAATGTCACAACGATAGATCTCCATTCCACAGACTCTCCTGACCTTCACACAATGCTGCTTTTGAATGACTAAATGTCTCTGCATACAAACCAGTCAGTTACTTTGTGTGTGTGTGTGTGTGTGTGTGTGGTATGAGAGGGGGAATCCCTGAGACAAATTGTGTTTTTTTTTTACAAGCCCAGCAATTAAATGGTGCATTTTGCCAACATAAGCGCGCTCTCTAGGCTCTACAGACTCTTTTTGAGACAATGTGGTTTTTTTTGCTCTTTCACAAACCAGCATAAAATGGATATATGGAAACAGAAATGTGTTGATTTGGAGAAAAAAGGGAGAGAAAAACCCATTTGTCACAAGCAAGACACGTCTGTCTGGGATTCCTTGACTGAGTGATGCCTCCCATGATGAAAAGCCTGGTTTATTTTTCTATCAGGGACCACACTCACATCCTGTCGGGAAGGGAATAAGCTGGCGGTCTCAGCTGCGCCTCATGGATTATGTGAAATATGCAGAGGATGTGTGGGAGACAGACATATTCTGTTTGACGTGAATGATACTGGAAATAAAACCAATCCAAGCAGACAGACAGTCTGATGAGCAGACACACAGGAGCTGACCTCCGTGATGAAGCAAAGAAGGCAAGTTCATCACAGATAATATCAGTGCTTCTATTTGTCACTCCAGACATGAGTGTACATTTTATGGGTTTGACATTTTAGATATTGGGACATTGTGATTCAAACACCAATATTAGGCTTACACAGTACACTTGTCATTGTGCCAGTTTTATTATGAGTCCACACCCATCAAAGCCACTTTTACACATTTGACAATTTTAAACACCTGCAGCAGCTCTGTATATAGATGAGTGGCTCACCAAGACTGACCAGTTTTTGACTGCAGCCTACCCATTCTGAGGCTCTGCTCTGAGTTAATGCTAACATCAGCTAGCATGCTCACAATGAAAGTGCTAAGGTGTTGATGTTTAGCAGGTATAATATCATATACCATCGTCACAATCTTAGCTTCAAATGAGCTATAATGAAATAAATCAGCATTCTAACATGCTCATTCACCGCATTTGTTAATTAGCACTCAACACAAAGTGCCACTGATGATGGGAATCTGCATTTTCAGGTAGGCAAATCTGGAAATAATCTTATGAGAAATTATGAGAATATGAGAGTTTGACCTGAGGTGTCCTGGTCACTAGAGCTGGCGCCGCATATACCAAGGCTGAGTTCTTGCAGCAGCGGCACGGGAAAAAGTCAAGTGATCCTGAAGGGAACATACACCGATTAGCCATAACGTTATGACCACCTGGGCACCCTGACTGGTCTGCGGGGAGATAATCAATGTTATTCACTTCACCTGTCAGTGGTCATAATGTTATGACTGATCAGTGTAAATATCTGCATCAAATTCTATACCAATCCATCCGATAGTTGTTACAAGAGATATTTTATGTCTGGCCCAAAAAGGTGGACCAAGATTGCCATTCAGCAAATAAAATCTAATAAACTCCAATCATGTGAAATCATTAGAAAGACAGAATGTACTGTAGTTATGCTGTTGTTTTAATGTATCATCATCAATCATATCCGTTGCTGTAACATATCTTGAGAAACAATGTTCTTCAGGTGTAAATAAAACCTTCCTGTTTGGCAAAGGTGTGTAGTGAGGTGTTGACATCGGTGCTCTGTCTGGACATGTATGTGAGCACAACCTGTGAACCTGTCATGACATCACACTGAGTGATTACCAGTCTCACGACTCAGGAATGCAGCACAGGCTTCCCCGTCTTCCAGGAGCCTGGTAGTTTTCCAAAGCACAGCTAAACTAGTTTTCCAAAGCCTAATAAGAGATTTAACAATAACAATGCAACACTTCTCTTGGCAATAACTACACTCACTTTTACCCTTCTGTGTTTCCATTTCCCCGTAGTTTTGTTTCTTGAGCGTGTGACACCACTGATACCACACAAACACACACGTCACAGATTACAGCTATCAACACATGCACGATTTATAGCACCTATGTATCTGAGCCACTGTATGTGTAGTCCCTGTTCATTGCCCAAGAGGTAATAAAACACAGTGCTCACCGACTGGAGCAGCTGTGGCTCAAGTTTATTGCCAAGACAATCTTGGTGTTTATGTTACATTCATAATTTTTACCCCGGAGCATCTAAAAAATACACAACATGTAGTGCAGTTTAGCAACCAACAGCTTGAGAATAATGCACACACAGTAAGTGTTGTAAGCGGGTGCACTAAGTGAAAAAGTGGGGGAACCAAACATAGTATATAGTATACTTGGTGTGCATAGCCAGCATTCCCCCCACCCTTACTCTGTATTTAGCAGCCAAAACCCCCCTCCATGACAAGGATCTACAGACCATCATGACCTCACCATCCAGGAGGCTTGTGCATGCACATGGTCAGGGGATGGCGGGTAACAGGGGTGTTAATTTACATGATGTCATTAAACTAGACACATACACACGCCCTTATCACAGCCCAGACTTGACCCCAACATTACCATGAACCCCATGCACGGTGTTTAAGGCGTGTTTTCCCCTAGAAGTACAGTATGCATACAGCAGTGAAATGGTGAAAAGGTGCTTTACTGACTTTCACAATCCAAGGAGCATGCAATGACACCTTTTGCTTGAGGTCATTGTTAATCAGTAGGTAGACAGGAGTGTGGATATGGGTGTGTGTTATTAATACCCTAGAGGCTGTCAGTTGGGGGGATTTGAGAGGCTTCTTGGGTTTCAGTGTTTCTGAGCTCACAGACAAATTTCCCTACATGGCGGGTTTATTCTCCACTCCAATGTGCTAACGACTTGGCCCCACGCTAAAAATGCCAACCCATCAGACCCCATGCTGCAGGGCATCGGTGCAACCTATACGATCTGAGCTAGCACACATGCACGTCCACACATCAGAACAGCAGTTGGATGCAAACTGGGCGCTGGATACCAAGCAAACTTGTGACTGGAGGGTCACAGGTTTGCATTGAATGTGATTCAAATCCCCTGAGAGCCTGAGAAAATCTGTGTGGGATGGATGACAACCACTGTCATCTACCTCAACAATGGTTATTGTGGTAAACAAGGTACTTAAGCCCCAACTGCCCCACTGGGACTGTTCAGTTGTCAGCAGCAGAAGACTGCGGTTGTACTGGGCAGCTCCCTGAAATGAACTTAAACAAAGAGAATGTATGCACAGTCAGCTTTTCTTGACTAAATATAGGCAAAACAAACACAGGAGCAATAAATTACAGCATATCCACAAAATCTATTTGAGTCGAGGACTGTTTAAATGTGTACCTTTCTCTGTGTTGTAGTTATTCTGTTATCAATCTTTATTTCTTATTTTGCTTATTCAACCATTATGCTCTGTACTTTAAAATAATAATGTAAAAATTATTGCAGTTTGTTGTGTAAAAATATGGCAATGTATACAAAATAAAAATATACAAAAATACATGGAAATATGTGGAATTTCTCTGTTTTAAGTCAAAACACATAAAGCAGGAAAGTC